AAAGAGGAACTGCCTGCATGGGCGCACTGGGATGGGTCAGCCCATTATTCCCATCGATCGACTGCGTGGGCGCCATGTACGAATCACATTGTTCATGGCGTCTTAAACGCCGAATAGGAATTGGGCTTTTCCTATGTCCTAATACTCCCCATCACTACATGGTTTGAACCCTGTTAAAAAAATATGAGATGAACCGAGATATCTTTCTGTTTGAATTGGGCCTGACCATCAAACTTTTCCTTTTTTGCAAAGCCATCGAAGAAACTAGATCATTAGGTTAAATTGGAAGCATCACAGGAATATGTCCAACACCCCTAGGTGTGCCATCTGCAAAGTGGAGGATGACTCATGGAGACACCCGCACATTGACTATACCATGTCACGATGTGTTTGGAACTTGTTGATGAATCTCTCATGAAGCATATGTGCATGAACAGATGTCAATCCAAAGTGCTTTTTCTTGTGCCCATCTTGGTAGTAGAGCTCTTCTACACTTGGTGTTGTTGGAAATATGTCCCGAAGGCAATAATAAGTTGTTATTATTCTATTTGAATGTTCATAATTAAGTTTATATTTATGTGCTACGATTGAAATGGTTCTTGAATATGAGATTCAGAGGAAAACCTATTTGCACGGTGTTGGATAGACCTAATTTATGAAATACTGCGAGACCACGTCGTCGGCATGTTGTCGGTATTTTCGTATAAAGTGTTATGGTTACTTGCGTCTTTATACCATGAGATATCATATACCCGAATGTCGCATGGTTACTTCGGGGTTGCCAAACGTTACTCATAGCTGGGTGATTATAAAGATAGTTTTAGGGTATCCGTAAAAGTATGATACAATGTTCGATATGTCAAGACATAAATTTGCTCCTTCAATGATGAAGAGATACACTCTGGGCCCACTCGGTATTTGATGTTCATCATCACTTGGCCAGCACAATGAATAAGTTGTTAGTCATGGTGAGGGTGTCCCGGACTAAAGGGTACTCATCACGTTGGACATAGGGTATTATCTCTTAGAGAGAGCCCGAACCTGGGTAAAATCCCGTGTCCATGTTACCATCACTCCAAAACGCCTAGCTTAGGACCCCTACTACGATGTCGGTGTACTAGAATAGGGGTACCCTAGTACCCCGAACTTGTGCACGGGCAGTTGCAGCACCCCGCGGCAAAGGCTTGCCGGGCGAACGCCAAAGACCCTCCAAGGTTCCCTTGGAGCCATTCAAGAACAAAGTATTTAAGCTCAGGATACAAGGCCCCGGCAAGAGGAGCTTGCCGGGAAGGCCAACCGAGGCACTCTAAGGAACTTGCCGCGATGCGCCACGCGCTCCGGCAAGGCGACAAGGCCCCGGCAAGAGGAGCTTGCCGGGAAGACTAAACAAGGTACCTCGAAGCCCGGCGAGCGACAAGCCTCCGGGCCCGACAAGATAGCAGCAGCGGCAAGGCGCTTGCCGCGGCAGGCGGCCACTCTGCGCCCACGCTCCAGCGCATCCACCAACGTGTCGCTCTGGGGGCCTCTCCAGGTGCACGTGGCGGGAGGCTGTGTAGCCAGCGGTGCGCAGTGGCATGCGAAGCTGACAAGATCGCCATCGTGGCGAACGGTGGCGCCCCTAACGGTCCTTTTCTGCACTGTTCGGGCGACTCAGACGGGCATTTAATGCCCTTGTCCCCTGCCGTCAGGGTTAGGTAGGGCGCACTGTACAAGCAATTGTATCACCTACCTCGCTTTTTACGTTTGTGCCCTTCTCTGCGTTGCCACCTGTCGGTGACCCCTTTAGCATATAAAAGGAGGCCCATGCGCAACGTAGGGGGGGTTCGGGGGGTTCGGAGGTTCGAAGGTTGGATGACTTCGACTCATTCATAGCCCAGAAAACATGATACTCTCTCGCTCGAGAGCAAGAACATCAGATAATACAACCAGACAAGCAGTAGTAGGAGTGTTATCTCCCCGGAGAGCTCCGAAGCTGGGTAAACCGCTCGTGTGCTTCGCCTCGATCTGCTCTTCATGCAACCTCCGCCCCCCACCGAACCGAAAGGGGCCCGGTCCGCCGGCCCCATAGGTGTTCGTGGGTCAGTTTCCCCCGACATCTTTGGCGCGCCAGGTCGGGGGCGTCGAGATTGTGTGAACCTGATCCGGTGTTCACACGAGCTAGATCTTCATTCCCTTCATCAACATGCCACCGAAGAAGAAGACTTCGGCGGCAGCTGCTCCGTCCACGTCGTTTTCGCCACCGTTGGAGCAAACGGGTGGTGGAGTGGACGCCGGCGGAAGAACAGCCGTCGATGAGGGTGCTCACAGTGCTGCCAAGTCCAAGGACAAGGCTGCACAAACCTCGGCGACTGTACATGTTCCGCGCCACTCTCAGGAGGCGCAAGATCAACAGCACCATGGCGCTCGCAGCACCATGCGCATGATAGACCAAGGCCAAGCTGGTGGATCTCGGGGCGCTCAAGACCAGCACGCACGCCAGCATGCTGGCACGAGCGGGGCACGGTCGCCTGGACGGGATACTGCTCCTTCTAACATAGTTAGAAGTTCGAGCACGTCCCGCTCCTCGCGCCGTCCGCCACTGCCACCCACCACTCCAGCAGAAGCTTTGGCGCGAGCTCAACTTCTCCTAGATTACCCTCCGACGTCGGACAAGATCGACGAATGGAGGGCCACCATTCAGAGTCTCATCGGCTACGCCAACGGCGACACTCCACGGCGGCCGAGCGGGTCACCGCCGCGGCAGGGTTGCCAGGCGCGAGCCGGTGGCGACGAAACGGGTGGAGGTGCAACTACCATGCAATCACCGCCCTGAAGGCCAAGATCGCCGACTCGTCGGATCCACCTCGACAACGACTCCACTGCATCGTCGGATCCACGAGCTCGTCGCGATCAGCGCCAAGTTCTTCATGATCGACAACAAGAAGACGCTCGAACCCGCATCGAGCGCCGAAGAGAAGCGCGACGTCAATCCGACAAGCGCGCTGGGCCCTCTGTTGACATGCATGCGCCAGGGGAACCAGGTGATCTGCCGTACACGGTAGGTTGCCCTGCGTTCACTCGTGAGCTGCGGCAAGTCCAGTGGCCCAGCACAAAGAACTTCAAGCCAGACGTACCGGAGAAGTACGACAGCAAGACGCATCCGTCAGAGTTCCTCAGCATCTACACCATTGCGGTACAAGCTGCCGGGGGACGAGATGACAAGATCCTTGCCAACTACTTCCCGCTGGTGCTCAAGCCCAACGTCAGATCCTGGCTCATGCACTTGCCGGACAACTCCATATCCTCTTGGGCTGATCTGTGCCATCAGTTTGTCGGCGCCTTCACCGGCGGACACAAGCCTCATGGCCAGGAGAGTGATCTTCATTTGCTCGCCCAGAAGGAAGGAGAGCCCTTATGCAAGTACATTCAGAGATTCAGCAGTGTGCAGCACAACATCCCAGATGTCCACCCTGCCGCGGTGATCAGCGCGTTCCATCAGAATGTGCGAAACCGCAGGATGCGGGAGGAAATGGCGATGTGCAAGATCAGGGACGTCAGTGAGTTATATGCACTGGCCGACAAGTGTGCGCGTGCTGAGGAAGGGAGGAGACTCCCCGGAGAAAATATAGGAGCGGGGGGATCTGACAGTGAAGATGCTGCCCCGACAAGGAAAAATCGGCGGCGGAACAACAGAAGGAGGAAAAGTAA